ACCAAACCCGATCGGGTTGAGCTGTGCAACATGCTTCTCAATGACCTTTGCACCTTCGTAGAGGATTCACTAGTGACTTTTGATGGATTATGATAGAAAAGTTCATAGAGTTGCAGAAAGCAATTATTTTTCTGGCAACCACACTTTGATTTTTCTGCAGGAGTTTCGACGGACAAAACTTGAGTTGGGTACTAGCTTTGGACAATGAAGTGTTCCTGTTTTTTTTTTTTTTTTTTTTTTTTTTTTCTTCTTCTTCTTTTGGCACTAGCTTAGGTATTTCTTGTATTTTAAATCAAACTTTGCATGAACCTGATTAAAACTTGAAAAAGTTGGGCAACCCAAACCCTTCCAAGTTCAACCTGAACCCAATTAAACCCGAACCCAAATGAACTCGATTAAAACCCAACCCGAACCCGAACCCGAATTGTAAAAGTTGGGTTAGGGTTGGGTTGACCTTCTAACCCGCCCAACCCGCCCGAGTTGCACCCCTGTCTCCAAATGAAGAGGCTATAGTTAGTCACCGTTCAGATTATAGTTTTGCGAGAAATTATTTTTTAATTAACAGTGCTAGATCATATTTATATACCATCTCCAACTGAAGGAAGCTATTTTTTAGCCCCCTCAATAATTTATTATTTTAAGTTTGTTCTTTAATTTTATTAGTTAATTGAATTAAACTATCATATTAAAATAAGGTTCTTGCTTAACCGAACATACAGAATTGGGATCTCTTTTGCCTCTGGACATATTTTAAGTGTCACTTGTTGTTAAATGAATAAGTCTCCATACATATTTTAAGTGCCACTTGAAGATGTGGCCATTTGAAATTTATCGAAAAAAATAAAGGAAAGATTATTGGAAGAGGTAAGAGAGGGGTGTGTATGAAAATAGCATTTGAGGTGAATAGAATGTGAAGAATTCAAATAAAATAAGGTAAGATAGTATGAAAGAGTAAAAAGGATGTGAGAAATGATGTAGAAATGTTTTAGATATTTATAGGAAAAAAATTAGATTTTTTTTAAATTTCTCTTAAAAAAAATCCAACTAGGCCCAACTAAAAAGACTGGCTGGCTGACTAAAAATGGCCAGCCCGCTGGCCATATTACTGGATTTGAGCCCAATGGGTCACAAGATTTTTTGGCCCAGACCTCCATTGAATATGAGTTTTGTGTCAAAAAAGCTATCATTTGGCCAATGGTCCTATGACGGCCCAGTTGGAGATGGCCTTAAGGAGATTCATTTGGTCATTTTCATTTTTTTATGAGGTTTTAAGATTTTAGGGCTTTCGATAAGATTGTTTTTAGATTTTAACCAGAATAGTCTTCAAAATCTAATAGAAGTCCTTATTTTTAAAACTTACCATATAAGTAATTATAGCACATTTTTTATTACAGTTACCCTTTGAAATTCTTTACCCATCCATAATAAATGTATTTTTTTTTTATGCTCCAATCATGTTAATAGATAAAAATTTAATAAAAATTCATATTCTTATTATTAAAAAAATTCAACAACAAACAAAAACAATTTATACATTTTCAGTACCTTATTTTATTCATAAGTACAAAAGTATTGGTACATAAGTTTCAGTATGAATGCATCAATACATAACTTTAGGTACCTTATTTTACTCTTAGGTATAGAAATATCAGTACGTAAGTTTCGGTACAAATGTATCAGTACATAACTTTCGATACGAATGTATCGATACAAATGTGTCGGTACAAATGTATTGATACATAACTATGGTATCTAAACAAGATTCTAAAAAACACTAGGCGTTAGTCGGGAGGCGGGTTGGCGCCTAGCGCCTAGGCGGCTAGGCGGGGTCTAGGTAGGCGCCTAGGCAGATTTAGGTAAATTTCTTGTATATCTTGTAAATAAGTGCATATTGACACTTACAAAAAATTAAACTTGTATGAAATTCATGTATAAGATAGTAAAAGAATAATAAAATGCAAAAAGAGTATCCAACAAGTCCAAAATTTAAAAACACATTAAGCATATATGTCATAGAACCATAGTGAGAAGTATTGTAGGATGACACATGTCCAATAAGTTCCCAATTTTAAACCACACAAAATACAAAATACGAGGAAAATAAGGAAATATAGTAATGTAGATAGGATTTTTTTTTTAATTTCAAAAAAAAAAAAAAAAAAAAACACCCTCCTAGCCTCTTAGCCCCGCCTAGAGCCGCCTAGCCCGCCTCACCCGCCTAGGCGCCACCTAGCCTGCCTAAGCCACCCAAACCCCAACCGATCTTTCCAACCGATTTGCAAGAAAACGCCTTGGGTGACCACTGCGCCTAGGCGGCTGCCTAGACCCTTTTTTAGAACATTGTATCTAAACATACATATGTACGTAATATGCATATACATAAATATGGAGAAATTTATGCACAACGAAAAATATATGATAAATAACATTTTTATTATTTATGGGATATCAATGTATAAACTACAAACAAAAAACTCAATAATTATTATAACCTTTAATATTCAAAAATTAAAATTAAATGTCAAGGATTAGAATTAGTTTTTAATCTTAGACAAGGTTTTATTCAAAAAGTAATCTTAGACAAAGATTAAAATATAAATTTTCGTTTTTTTATCTTATTTGTTCGCTACGCTCACTTCATGATACATGTATAAATGATGGAAAAGAAATGCGAAAGAGATTTTATCAACAGTAAGATTCTCCATAGACTTTCTACCATTTCATGTTTTTTGTACATTTTATAGGATAATGTAGGGAGACTAAATTTGTAAACCAAATTTTCTAAGAGAAATGCGAAGGAGACCCTCAAGGTGAGACTCTATGGAGGCATAATGTTTTATACTGTCGGCACGAGAATTGTGCCAAAAACATGAGGTGACGGGTGACGGAGAGTCCATGGAGAGTTCTATCTTTTTAGAGTCTCTCCTTAGCATTTCTTATTTTGTAAACTAAATGACGTAGAAGTTGAAAATTGGATTATTACTTGGTGTTGATTAACGTACTTATTTCTTGTTGGTGGTACATCATTTAATTTGCAAATTTAATCTTACTTATCTTTACTCTTTGATAATGTTGGCAAATAGAAAATCCATAAAAAAATTCACCTTAAGATAGTCTCAATATTCCTTGTAATGGACTTTACTTCTCAAGAAACAATATGATTCGTATGCAAAAATTCTATGCGAATGGTTTATGATTAGATTTGTATGGCTGACCAATAAATATTGGGTGTGTATTTTTTGATGTTATTAAGAAATTTATGTGTTTCTTGAATACAAAGCAGTACAGAAATAGTATAACATAAATTAATTTATACAATTTTGGGACACATGATTTTGATGTTTTCAACTTGATATTTAGATCCCATATGGTCTAATATCAACATTATCGATATTGTCAGGTAATTTAAACACCTATGACAGGATGTGCTGATTTTTATTACAAAATGCCTTAGTAATATTAGATCATCTCACATATAATTAAGGTGCATATTATTTTTCTCCTATCTATGATTTGGGATTCTATTCTTCAACTAGAGCCTACTATGAGGATTTCCAAAAGATGCCACCGCACAAGGCAATCGATTCCCAAATTTTATTTAGAGAATTTTATTTGAACACTCATATAAAATCTTTCTATACCTAACTTATCCTCTATACCCATAGTACTTTTAATTAAACCATCAATATCTTTTTAAACCCAAAATTTACTACCTAAACTACCTCACAAACCCAATTCAAGATGCTAACTTATCTTGACACCTATTTGGAAAATAAAACCCAAAATCAGTGTCTTGTAACAATTTCAAGGCATAAAGAGAGTAGCATCCCTCATATTTGTAGTCTCTCTCTCAATCTCTCTGGTTGTATTTGTTGTTAGCCTTATAAGGTTATACAATTAAAACACAAATGAAGGAGTGACGAACCTGATTCCAGTTGTAATCATGGTACTCGAGCAAGGAAGGAGAAAGGGCACGGCAATGCCAATGTCTTCTATAAACACCTAACTAGATACAACTACTCTATGGGAAGCATTATGTTGTGTGTTCTAGTGCTTATAGGGACCGATGTTTTTATATAGGCCAAAAGCTAGGGTTTTCATCCATAAAGGAAACCCAAACATACTTTCTTAACCTCCACATCAAGTATTATAATCATATTCAATTAAGGATTCCATCAATCCTATTTCCAATATAAGACACCTTATATAGGATTGATATCTTTAAGAGATCAAATCACAATCAACATATTCTCCAATATGACATTCCTATTACATGTAGTAGACCACTTAAAGATTGATTTATATTGGATAAATCCAACATCAGTGTCTAAAATGGATTATGTTTGGGGTGATGTAAATTGGTACCATTGTGAAGATGTTGAGCTTGACGAGTCAAAGATTTGTGAAGTGGTTGGTTTCAAGTGTTGCGAATGTCGGGGTATAAAATCACTTGTGTGTTTTTACACTGATCCTAAAAATATAAAGATAGTAAAGAACAAGAAGGTTCGTGCTGGGAGAGCTAAACCACTTATTGGTGTATAACATGTCTCACTTCAATTTTAAAAGTTTTAAGCTAAAAATAAAAATATTTAAAGTTAACAACCTGGATCGATACATATCTTTCAACAGCCAAACCACAAAGAAAGTTGGGTATAAATCTTGAAATTTTTAAGCAAAAAACAAATGCACTATTTTTCCATAGATTTTCAAAAAAGGAAAAAGAAAAGAACGCAAGTGGGCACAAATCTATGAAATAATCATAAATATTTTATAAACAATTATATGCAAGTTATTACCTAGTTTTGCCCTAATTGCATCTTAGTTACTAATCTATAAATATGAGGAAAGATAGATTAACAACAACAATTTATACAAATTGAAAAAGTACAGAGAAATTGAAATAAGCCTAAGCAAGAGTAGCACTTCTACAATTTGTAGAAGACACCAGTTTCTTGGTTTTTTCAATTTTAAACCGTGTTCCACTTGTTGAAACATTTAGATATAAACAAAAATTTTAAAAAAATAATAAACTTTACAATCCGCATCGATACACATCTTTCAATTCTCAAACCACTAACAAAGTGGAATATAAATGTTAAAACTTTTAAGCAGAAAATAGATATACATTATTTTTCCGAGTGAAGTTTTTTGAATTGTGCAATCCATATAGATCATGTCAGTAAGAAAAAGTACTTTAATCCGGAAGAAGACCAACCTTTAGAGCAAAAAAATATCAGTAGTTTCTATAATTATATCTTAAAAATTCAGAATAACAAAAATAAAAAAATAATACACACCTTGTCGCTCCTCTAATGACTTCACCTGTGGTATAGTCTTTAAGTACCCAATCATGTCTAGTGCCAATTCTCCCTTCCCTTGACACAATGTTTCTATTTCAACATTGCTCCTATACCACAAACCCACATTTTAAGTTTCACTTTCAAGATTAGAAATCAAAACCCGAACTGTAATATAGGAGAACGCCCACCAAGCTGGATATTTGTAGGTTTCAATATGCTTGCGAGCAACCTATATGAGATGCATTTTCCTCATGGTGGTGGTGGTCGCAAATCCACCGGTTGAAAAGCCAACAACTTGAGAATGGTTGCATCTTACCTCCTGTAGCATAAATGTTCACAACAAAATAAAAATCATTAAAAGAAGACCAATTGTTTCCTAGTGAAAATTTTCAATTAGTCAATCGACAAAATACAGTAGTACTAATCATTGAATGAAGAGAACTAAATCACACAATGCCTTTAATTTACTTCAAGGCAACTAAGATTTCAAGAAAATAAAAGACCACTTAATTAAATCAGAAATTTCAATGATCAAATACTTACAGTAATTTGGTAACACAACCAATTAGTACAATAGCGATGCAGAATTGTATTTGAGCAGTATGTCAAAAGAAAGACAACACTGTGTAAATAAGTGCCTCTTTGGCTGATTCGGTGCATGTATCATAACTTTAACATTAGTTTTATACGGTGAATCTAATTGAGCAGGTTAGTTGAAAAACATGTGTCGGCAGTAAAGTATATTTTGAAAATCTAAGAAGTTAATCAGGAAAAAAGGAAAACACAACCCCACTTATTTCACATAAGAAATGCGTATATTATCAATTTCCAATAAACAAATGATGAAAGCTCATCTGCCTTCTCAATTTTTAAGGTATCCCTCTAAATGAAATCACTCAAAATCAAGAAGTAATTGATCAAAGCACTGTTGGAACCCCCAGTCCCACATCGGACAGAGGGAGAAGAGAAGAGTGATTTAAATAGAAATACCCCTCTCTAACTAATATCAAGATCTTTTGTGATAAAATCCCACACTTGAGGATTGTGCAGGTGGTTAAGTGGGGACAGTATCGGTGTTGTTGGAGTGGACCCTCGGCCCGTCGACCTGAAAATTTCTACACATCGGACAGAGGAAGAAGAGAAGAGTGCTTTAAATAGAAATACCCCCTCTAACTAACATCGAGCCCTTTTGTGGGACTGGGGGTTCCAACCAGCACTCCTGCCTTCTTAAAGATATTATCGATTGAAATAAAATCACACAAATGAAACTAGAAAAAAAAAAGCACAAACCCACTTATTCAAATAAGAAATACATATACAATAAGGAAGAAGTGGAAGCAGGGAGAGCATACGCAACCAACAACAGCCTTCCATCTCTTGCCAAATCTTAGATTTTTCACCGGAGGGAACCAAACGCAAAATTCGCTTTAGCCGGCAAAGCCTCCACAAATTGCCATAACTCTCCGCAAAACCAAACAGTTAAGGTTTCGTTCAAATTAACACAAATCCAAAATAACAACTCATATACTGGTGTTATAGAACCTACCTGAGTTCAATAGAAGTGACGATGATCTAAAGAAAGATCATGCCCAGACTGCACTTAAAAGAATTAACCATGGCAATACATAGTATTAGAGCTGCCAAAAATAAAGACACACACAAAAATATAAAATTTGGTTCTGCAAAAGCCCCAAAGGGAAAAGCTGAAACCACTCACCTACAACACATATGGCTTCCAAACCCGCACACAAAAGGCCCAAAAAAAACAAAAATCAGGCTCCCCTAAAACTGAAAACAAAACCAAACTACACACCCATACGCAGTTGAATCGAACACCCACATGCAGGATCTGAGGACAGCAACAAAACCTCTAAAATCACAAAACAGAAATTTTGAACAGAAAACCCATCCGCAAATGCAAAATCACAGCAAAGAAAATGAAAGAACTATATTTGATAAAACCATAAAATTCACCAGGAAAAGCTAGCTTTTGTAGGTAAAAGTTTTGTCGAATCCAAGTAAACAACCGAAGAAACTTGTATTGGCTGATTAGTTTTTCCACAACAAAACACCCTTAGTAATTTGTGACAGAAAGATCGCAAGGTTAGAGACAAAGAGGACGCGGCGTTTGGAGCGAAAGATAGCAAGGCTGGAAAGCAAAGAAAAGACGGTCCAAAGCAAGAGAAGCAGAGAACTGTAAGAAAGAAAAATGGAAACGGAAAGGAAAAGGGGAGAAGAAAAGTGGAGGGAGCACGCGTTGCAAAGCGATGGTCGACACGTGCATCCAATGGGCAAAACCGTATTTTTACTGTACAAAGCAGACCATAAAGGAGGAAAGAGAGGGGCAAAATGGTCATTGCACTGGTCATCAACAATGCCCCCCGAAAACTGGGTTTTAGTATCTAGGATATTGTCCAAAAAGAATATGATCTCAGGAGATATTGTTTATCGTAGTTTTGCTTATGCATGTTTAAGGGTAGAAGGAACATATATGGTGAGCGAGGATGTGAGCTCTGTTAACAAATCACTGTATTCTTCAGCTTATGACAATAGGTTCTGTTGTATGATAGTCATGTGGTAACTCTAAATGGAGATATACAGTTTATGAAGAGAGTTTTTGTGGTATATATGATTCTTCATGCTTGGGAAGGAATTTTAAGTGCTTCATTGGTATCTAAATTATACATCGTTTGATGCATTTTGAAACTTGTAAGATTAGTCTTCTGTGTTGACTGTTGTTAAGGTTACTAATGATGTTCAAGTTTCAAATCCTTCTTTTGTGGATGTTTCGTTTCTCCATCATTAATCATCTTTGATAGTAAGGTTTGATTATTATGTGAGTTTATTGATAAATTTTAGTTTTAATGTTCATTTTACCTTGTACTTGATTGTAATTAATAGGATAAAAAAGACAACTCACATTTAAAGTTTACGTTGGTTGTAGGATGAGGTCATACGGGTTCAAATAAAATATTTTTTTCTTTACATGCACACAGATCCATGTGGGGCACATATTAAAGTTTGCAAGATGGTACCAAAGTACTCTTCCAGTGCTAGTGGTTTAGGCTTTGTACCTTTTTATGCATGGTGTTGGGTTCAACTCGTGATCCTGCTTCGCTATTTTTAATTTTTGAAAATTTATAAACTTCTTAAGCAGATAAATTTACATGAACATGCTTCAAACTCGATACCTTTTTGAAGATAGAAACACTCTTATCCACTCAAGCAAGCTTATTTTTTTGCACTTCTATTTTATAGATAACAAAGTTAGAAAAATAATAAAGAAAATACATCATCACAAAAATGAAGGGTTTTCGTCTAAGTTTTACACAGGGCCTATGAATGCTCAGGCCGACCCTATCTCCAACACACCTCATGCTTGGCCCCATATGGGTCACATGGGAAACCAATTCCCACATCGGAAACCCAACAATTCATTCATTCACTAGAGCCATTGGAACTCTTCAAAGGCCCATTGGTACTTTTAAGTTGGAATTAGCGCAACCTTTCAAAAGCACATTTTAAGGATACAAGTTCAAGTCCAATAAATCAAGCTCAGGACAATCGGAAGAATAACCTACTTTGATACCATAATAAACTTTTTAGGCCATCATGGTCAACCACCAACATCACCAATATAATCCCAACTTAACTACCTATACTACGTGTTGAGTTTTGTTAAAGGCTTTGATAATATTAGAAGTGAATATTCCACATTTAAGTTATATATTATTTTTCATATATCGATATGGAACTCTATTTTCCAACAAAACCGTGTTGCTAAATATTTGGTGTCGACCATTATGATGAAATTAGATGTGGGAGTGGTTTTAGATTTCTTCGAACGTGCCACACGTATATATGTAGTAATGACTTATTGTAGTTCAGACATTTTCCTTGTGTGCAATATCATGTGTTTGTATCGTGCCAGTTTATGGCATAGGTAATTGTTCTATTTTTTATCTATCATTGAGAAATGTTGGTGCGTTCGGGTGATTTTCTCACGCTGATTTTGATTTGATCGATTGAACATGCTTAATTATGATTTGGAATTGCAATTAAAATGTTTTGTGGTATTTGTTTCTTATCATGAACAAGGCGACCCCAAAGGTAAGTAATGCCGTATGTATTGATCATCCCTACGACACCATATTTTCTATGCATATAATCCCAAGGAGATGATGCGGTAACAGTGACAACAATTTGTGTTTTTATTTTTAGAAATCATGATTATGTTGGTAATTAATCTCGCACATTAAATTTTGACAAACTCTGATTTTGTTGTTAATTCATAAGAATAATATTAATTTTGAAAACCAAAGGTCTTGAAAAAAAAAAAATTAAAACTAAGCGATTGAGCTAAGAAACAACCAATAGAGTACAAGCTTAACGACGATAATGCCAGAAAATCCAAAATATCTGAAGTCATGACAACTGGAATAAAGGAAATTTGAATGAACTTTTGGGATATTATTTGAAAATTTGAGCCAGATATTGCATTAAAGTTTTCCTAATTGTTTTTACCCGCGTATCAACTTTCCTAGCTAAAGCAAGTGGCTCCCGTTTAATTCCTTTTTTATTCAAAACGCATCCATGTTCATTGTACACGTCTTCTATGCATGTTCTGTCTTTGCTATATATATATATATATGTATAGAGCTAGGTTTTGTTCTTCTCTACATTTGTGTGCAATGTCTCGTCTTCTTTGCCGCTTCTACTCTCTTCATGATGTACTTTCTCCCTCTCCTTGTCTCTCTCTAGATCTCTTGTCCAAAATGTCTTTCCCATGTGAGAGAACTAGCTCATCAGAAGACAACGTAGCTATTGAAGACCCATTGAATGCGAGCTGATTAATCAAAGGATGTGCCCTAACTTGGAGGACGTTGGGATAACCCTGATGTATCCCCGTCTCATGGTTTGATGGTCTTGATGCATGAGATTTAGTCAAACTCGGATTTGAAAGGATTTTAAAAGACTTTAAAATCCTAATGTAGTCAGTTAAAAGATTTTAAAAGATTTTAGAATCCATGCAAATCTAATTGTAGTCCATTGAGATTTTATTAGAGATTTTAAAGTCTATCCAAATCTAAGTGTGTTAAAAAAAAATTAAGATTTTAGAGGATTTCAATAAGTTGTGGATTTTGTGGCATTTGAGAACAAGAAATATATATAACCAAGACAAAAAAGAATCCAACCTCACCCCCTAGGATTTCAAATCTTTTTCCATCTAGGTAGTCCACAAATCTCTATCAACCTCAGCCACACACAGGTAACCACCATATACTTTGGTGGAATCTCTTTTTGTAAGCATTTCACAGTATTGTACACAGTTTGAGCTAGATTTTTTTTTTTTTTTTTTTATGAGTTCTCGAGTCAGAGGAGAATCACATTGATGCTCAACAATTAAAACCTAATGTAGTGTTCAACATCGTTGATCCCTACTCTACAGAATATTAGTTTGAAGCATTCAAGGATATATCATATATAGGAATAGGATCACAATGTTGCAAATGAAAATTTCGATACTGCATGTAATTTACACGGATCTAAACATCATATGTGTATTTTGCAACAATGGAAAAAGGAAGCTAGAGATATAGGCTTGGTTGACTGCAAGGTGTGCAAGGGTTCAGGTAACAGTTTCTGATGCAAGCTCTTAGTTGATGTTGGTCTTGTTCTTCTGTCTTCTCCTCAAATTTGGTGTGACAATATTTCTGCCATTTCATTGGCTAGAAATCCAATCTTCCATGCTCGAACTAAGCATGTGGAGATTGATTATCATTACATTTGGGAACAGGTGCTTGCTAATCAAGTTCAAGCTCTGTTTGTGTGCACTCAAGATCAGGTTGCAGATATCTGCACCAAGGCACTGTCCAAGCACAGATTTCATCTTCTTAGGGACAAACTCTCTCTTCGGCTACCTCAGTTAGGTTTGAGGGGGGGATAATAAGGGTAAAACTGTAAATAGTTAAGTTTGTTAGAAGTTGTTACAAGGAAGTTATGGTAGTTTGTAATTAGTTAGTGATTAGTTGGATAAAGATGTAATTTGCTTGTTGGCCAATACTAGTGAGTCACTAGTATATATATACATCACTGTGTAACTTTATTAATTGATGAAATGAAAGAGTAATTTTCTCATTAAGACACCTATGTAATTTTACGTGTCTAGTCGAATGTGAAATGAAAGAGCAATAAATCAAGCCGAGGACAGTCGAAAGAATAACCTCCTTTGATACAATAATAAACTTTTTAGGCCATCATGGTCAACCACCAACATCACCAATATAATCCCAACTTAACTACCTATTACTACGTGTTGAGTTTTGTTAAAGGTTTTGATAATATTAGAAGTGAATATTCCACATTTAAGTTATATATTATTTTTCATATATCGATATGGAACTCTATTTTCCAACAAAACCGTGTTGCTAAATATTTGGTGTCGACCATTATGATGAAATTGGATGTGGGAGTGGTTTTAGATTTCTTCGAACGTGCCACACGTATATATGTAGTAATGACTTATTGTAGTTCAGACATTTTCCTTGTGTGCAATATCATGTGTTTGTATCATGCCAGTTTATGGCATAGGTAATTGTTTTATTTTTATCTATCACTGAGAAATGTTGGTGCGTTCGGGTGATTTTCTCACGGTGGTTTTGATTTGATCGATTGAGCATGCTTAATTATGATTTGGAATTGCAATTAAAATGTTTTGTGGTATTTGTTTCTTAACATGAACAAGGCGACCCCTAAGGTAAGTAATGCCGTATGTATTGATCATCCCTACCACACCATATTTTTTAGCGTATAATCCCAAGGAGATGATGCGGTAACAGTGACAACAATTTGTGTTTATATTTTTAGAAATCATGATTATGTTGGTAATTAATCTCGCACATTAAATTTTGAGAAACTCTGATTTTATTGTTAATTCATAAGAATAATATTAATTTTGAAAACCAAAGTTCTTGAAAAAATAAAAATTAAAACTAAGCGATTGAGCTAAGAAACAACCAATAGAGTACAAGCTTAACGACGATAATGCCAGAAACTCTAAAATATCTGAAGTCATGACAACTGGAATAAAGGAAATTTGAATGAACTTTTGGGATATTATTTGAAAATTTGAGCCAGATATTGCATTAAAGTTTTCCTAATTGTTTTTACCCGCGTATCAACTTTCCTAGCTAAAGCAAGTGGCTCCCGTTTAATTCCTTTTTTATTC